TTTCAAATTTCATTTCATTTCAAAAATGGAGGGAAACAGATAATGAAAAGCTGTATCTTCTGCACAAGGAAGTGTCAAAATTATTTGGATTTAAAACATTGCATAAAACAGACTTTATACTGGGAAATCGGTTGACATAGAATGACAGAGTGAAATATTGTTGACTGAGCTAAAACTGCATGATTGAAAGCTTAGATAGAAGGCATAATCTGCAGGCGGGGGTTTTCTTGTTAAATTGAACCCCACTTTGTTTTCTCAGAATTTCAATTTTTTTTAGTAATCTAGATTCTCTGTCTTTTTGTCTAAACCAAAATCACCCTCTGGTGTTATGAGTTGCACATGCCAAAACAAAGACTTCTTTGAAATTTTATTTCCAAAAAGCTGACAATGTAAGACAGATAAAAGAACATTAGGTTGGAAACACAGAAGATGGAACGTGAAAGTCTGAGATGAAACAATCAAACATAAGCCCCAAGTATTGAGAGCAGCCAGCTGTACAGATTAGTTTGTTTCATTATGTTTGGGCTTCTGGTGCCTTGGCTTCCTTTGTCTCTGTGGTGGATATTTGCTGCTTCATCTTCTGCTCTGCTTTTTGCTTCTGCACCGCCTTGAAAACCTGAGAAAAAAAAAACAAACAAAAAAAAAAACACAGGACAAGCGTTGCTTTGGGTGTGAAAAAAACATTGATGCTGTGCTGTGAAGCAATGCAATCATTAATAAATTATTACAAAAACAAAGAACAGTGGAATACATAAGAAAAAATCTCAATGTCCTCAAAAAATTGGGTTTATTTGATTATTACCTTAATACAAAACTCTTTCTTGGCCAGCCAGCGGCGAGTTGCCCGTCTGTAGTATTCTGGAGGGAAGGTGTAGACAATGCCGAGCTGCTCACACACTCTCTCAAAGGTGTCAAAACGAACCAGCCTGAGGTTTTTTAGAAGCTTTTTCCTGCGATCTATGGCCATTAGCATGCGCCTCTTGTTAGCTTTGTCCTAGCATGAAACAACATATTAAAACAAACCATAAGTACCATCTAAAAAACTCAAAATGAGACACCTGCTTGCTTTGCTCATAAAAACAAATGCAACTCGTTGATGTCACAGAGATGGTATTTAAATTTGCAACCTCTGTTCTCAGTTTTAATGATTAAAATGTTCTAAGTGTGACGTAAGATGGAAACTTCCGACCGCGGCTGTGCTTGTACACATTTTATTTTATGTGGGCTTAGTACACAGGAAATCCTGTAGCACATATACACTTCACACCAAAGGAAGCTAAAATGAGGTGAAGCTGACACATGAAAGTTCTCAAGACAAGACTCTGAATCATGCCATTTTATTTTCATAAAGAATGCACAAAAAACAGTTTAGCAAACAAGGTGTGACGACTTCATTTCACTCACCTTGTGGTGTTTTTGCAAATGCTCCTGATAGTTTCGAATTCTTGCGGTCAAAACAGCCACTGCGATGAGAAACATCAGAAAGGGAATTCAAACCTGATTTGATTAAGATAAGGTTGTCCTCATCTTTAAATTTCAGTAGAGACATCACATGCAACATTAATGGCTTCTCACCCTGTACTTCGACTGAATTGCGATCGTTCTCATCTCTTTGAACTTTTGCAATCAGTTGTTCCTTTTTCAACTGGAGCTTTTCCTTCTGAGAACATAGATAACACAGCTACAATCATTACTGAATTTAAAATAGGTGGCTATCCCCTTAAGGGGGAAAACGTGCTTTTCTCCAGCGGGGACAGGGAAGCTGGTGAGATGAGTAAAGCTTAATACGGGTCTATTCCAGAGAGTGTTTCAGATCATAAAGAATTCAGTTCCAGGTCAAGCAAAAAAATCAAACTTTAGTTTTGGTTCTTTGATCATAACTTTTGGTTTTCTGCTCATTACAACATCTTTTTAAGGTTTTATTTGCTCTAGTGGCCTTCATTTGATAGTGAATCGACAGGAAAGTGAGTAATGAGAGGTGGAAGACATGTGGCAAGGGTAGGACTCAAACCTGTGACGGCCGCAATGAGGACTATGGCCTCCATATGTGGGCTGTGCTTTACTCCTGCTCCACCACAGCACCCCAATTACAACATCTATTTGGATATATTCAGTTGTGAAATGAATGAGAAAGCCCCTGTTACACTTCACTGAATTACGTCTTATCTGTACAATACCTGCTAATTATTGTGGAAAATGTAATTCTGACCAAATGCTATGTTTTGTTCCTAGATGTCAGACATTAAAACATCTCAGTGCTGCAGTGCGTGTGAAAAAATGACAACAATTTGACGGAAATTGACTTCAATTTTGAAATAAAATGAACTGAAAAGTTGCTATTTATGTCATATTTTTTCTGTGTAGCATCAGGTATTGTTAACTTCTACTGCATGTAAATAAAATATAAGCTTCCATCAGTCCAAGTTTTAAAAACAAAACACACAGTGAAACCATACTGTTATTTTAAACCATGAGTTCTTACATGACTTGCCAGTTCCAGTGAAAGAAGACGTTTGACGAGATCGTCTGTCCTGTAAACACAAATAGAGCCATGTTTAATTAACATAAATTCATTCTGAAACAGAAGTATACAATATTTCTGTTGCAAACGTATTGCAACAAAAATATTGCAAAAGTATCGTCATCCGTTGAACCTTTTCAAATTGTGTGAATAAAAGGTCTGCAACTAAAGTGTGCAATGTATTTTACTGAGACATTATCCAACGGACCAGCACAAAGTACAGAATAACCGTGTAACTGAGCATAACAGCTAAAAGACAATGATTTTAATGTTCTATCTGAAAAGTGTTGCATGCATCTGCATTTAAAACTTAATTACTTGACAGTAAAGGTTAAAGCAAGCCTGTAAATCCCCTAAACCAAATTGTGACTTCAGAAGTTAACCTCAGTACAATGCAAACTCACTATAAATATTAATAAATTTATCAGAGGTCAAATCAGGGTCAGGCTATAAAACAATATCCCACCTTAAAGAGAACTGTTCAGTCCCTTATGTGAAGATGAAACAGAAGAAAACCTTGTAAGTCATAGCTGTCCTCCTACACTAACAGACCAGGTAAAAAGAGCTTCAATCAAAAGAGTAGCAAAGGGGTCTCTCTCTCGTAACTTTAGAGGAGCTGTAGAGATCAAGAGCTCAGGTGGGAGAATCAATCAGTGGAAAAACTATTAGTTGTGTATACTGCTGCCCAATCTGCCTGACCTTGAGCTACTTTAAAAAGCTGAACGAGATCGAAAGGTTCATTGCAACTGCAGCTGGAATCAACATTCAAAACAGGTGGAATCTAATCACTAATAACGTGTTTTTTTAAGGTAATTTGTTGCAACAAATTTTAGTAAGGGGTATCAAAGTAGCAGAGGCTCAATAAAATGTGACAGTATACAAATACACTTCCTGCCTCTTTTATTTATAGTGATACAATGTGTTCAGATATGTGAATACTTTTGCAAGATATATTTTTTTTCCATCTTTAATTGCTCGCAGGGTCGACCGAAATGTTTTGTCTTACGTCTGAGCAAGTGGGACAGGTGCATACTCCATCTTCAGCATTGTTGGAGCAAGATCACTGAGTTGGCTTTCTGGGCCTGGAAGAAACCAATTGCTCACATGAGAAGACTTTCTTTGATCCCAAAATATGCACATTTGGTTCTTAATGCACACCTGTCGTCTTTCGCTTTGCAACCCGGGCATAATGTCTCACAGGTGGTGGGACTGCAAAGACTCCTGAAACCAAAAGACAAAGAAAAAAGCTCAAGGAATCTAAAATTGTGAGGACTGGGAGATTTTAGATTTTTATTGTGAACACAAGAAATGCAAAATTCTCATGCAGGAAGAAGCATGTGTCTACAAACAAAACAGCCGTTGTGTGACCTCGCAGTTTCAAACTGTTTCACCTTGACAAAACAAAACACCTTAAGCATTTTCTTGTTGAAGCATTAAGAACAAGATTTCTTTTTTTGTATAATAAAGGATGACGATGAAGAAACTGGTCAACGTGAAAATAATTGCGCAACTGCCTGATGATTTTTTTTTTTTCAAAATATAACCAAGATAAGCAACATAACACGTCTATCCTGCATGTCAGATAGCACAGCTTCGCATACAACTGATAGTGATGAGATTGTGGTTTTCTATATCACAACCATCAATGAAGTGGCTTCCTGAAATTCTGATTAGTTTTCATTAGAAATGCAACCACATGTGCAATTGATTCTCAGGTTCCGTTTCTATGTCATGCAGAAAAAACCTAGCTTTACAAAGCATCAGCTCAGTGTATAAAAATGCATACACTTATTGAATTTCTACTTAAGGGAGGAAAACAATTTATCATTTTGCCTGTGGTCCATAACACAAAATCCTAACACTCATTAAATTTTGCAGCTGTAACATGCACAAAAGTGAAAAAGTCCACATAGTACTTTTGTCAGATTGCATATGATGATGATAAGGCAGATTAAAAGGGGGAAATGAAGGCAAAGCTTCTCTAGATGGTACAGATATGATAATGATGAAAGACGTTGCAGTGAGAAGTTGGATAAAGAATTGCAGTGGAGATGGCATACGTTGTTAGTCAGGCCTTATGAAAACTTTTCAAAAAATGGCATAAAAATGTTACTTTCTTTCTGTCCACATAGCATCTTTGTCTCCATGATCAAGTTTTTCCTAAATAATCTATCCTTAGGATATTAGGGAAAATGTATCCATAACATTATTATTAACATATGTGTCTTTTCTTATTGTGTGGAGACACTAAGTGCTTGAAAAGAAGTCTGCTGGATGGAGATTATTAAGGTTTTATGATGGTAAAAGTTTTGCTTCTATCAATGGCTGTGAACTGGACAGATAACGTAAAACAAATTATGTTTTTTTTTTTTTTAACTTGGGCATTTGTTTTTAGACTTGATATCCAGCTTTATTTATGACTGTAGTTATGTCTAAAATAAAATCATTTTAAATTGTGACCCAAGTTGTTGTTTTGTTGTTAGAACAGCTGGTAAAGTAGTCAGGCTACATGCTTAGGTAACAACCCTTAATTCAGGATTGTAAAAGGTGCCGTTCCATTAATTACCACAATAGTAATTGGAACACTTTCTTTGGTCTGTAATTTAAAGAACTTTACATTGTTCGGTATTTTTTTTTGCAAATTTACTCATTTAAATTTGAAACAAGAACTTGTTAAAACCTTGTTTGGTACCAGTAACTGAGCCCTTCTTAGCTGTAAATGTCTCAGTCTGCGACAATATAGATTGTTAATAGTTTGAAAGTAATTTATGAAACCTTCCCAGACCCATAACAAGCATGTGTGGCATTTTTAAGACCACTGCTGGTGTCTTTCCACCCTGGCATTGTGTTAGCACACGAGCAAACTTCCAAAACTCTGTATTTAATAAAGGTGACCAAATTTTCTCTTTACCAGTTTATCAAGTGCATGATAAGTGGCACCTTGCTGCAACTTTCCCTTCTAAATCCTACAGAGGTAGGTGGGGTGTACTTACTTTTCCACATACAGAACGTTTTCTATTCTACTTCAGCTGTGCTTGTGTACACTTGAGGTCAGATTCAAGTGATATTAGAACCTGCAAAGATCAGATTATTTGACTTTGAGATGGGAAGGTTAAATATCAAGAGCTTGAAAGGGGGTGCACATTCTTTTTTATAATATGTAAACATTTCGTAAAATAATTATATTGTTCGGTCTGAATAAGAAGAACAAAGTACCAAGCATTCCTGGGCAAACAAACATAATTAAAGCAATATACTCTGTAAACAAATATCTCAAAATCTAAAAAGGTGACATACGTCAATTCGTCAACAGCGCCGACTGCTGGTGACGGTACAAATGACAGCAAGGCTCTATCCGCAGTTTTCTAACATTTACGGTGGATATTGAAGGAGAGTTTACTTCGTCTGGGTTTTAATTTATTTTACCCACCTTTGCTAACTTCAGGTCCTGATAATAGAGCCGAAGCGCAGCAGCTCCAAGGTCTGACCGACACCGTGGGGAACAGAGCGGAACTTTCACACAAAACACCCACAGAGGACTTCAGAATGGTCCGCAGGCCAAAACTGGAAAACATGATTTAGATTATAGATAAATACACATAAAATAACTCCGCTGAAAATGTTTGAAGTGTGACATGTAATCACACTCGACCGCTACAAGAGGTCCGCCATTTTAGATAGACTCTACTAGCGGAGTGTGAGAAAAGGATTGGACAAGTAGGCTGAACTAACAATCCCAGATAACATCGATAGGATTACCTTCACTTTAAAATACATGGGGAAAAAAGGTTAAAATATTGTTTTTGTTTTATTAGCAATGTTAATTTATTACGGAAGTGCATTGCTATCAATGTGCTTCCGTAAATGTTTCTCAAGAAACAACAAAAAAATATTTAAAACAAAAAACAAAAACTCCATCTGATGGAGTTGACAGAGCATGACGGAGTTGACGCAGAACTGAAGGTGGTGACGAACTAGTGAGTAAAAAGAAATACTTGATACATGTGAAGTAATGCAATTTATGTAAAATGTATTAAAATGAATTAATTGCACATTTAAGTGAGATTTGTCAACAATTTCACTGAAAGAGTCACAAAAACTCTGACGGAGTTGACAAAAAGCCAAACTACCTCAATTTATATGATGTTATTCTGAAGGAGGCCATATTGTAGCTCATCAGGTCCATGAAATCTTTACAGTATACCAAAATTAAGCTTTTATTTCACAAAATTTCATCAAAGTTTTGTAAATTGTCAGTTATGGAGTTGACACATCATGGTTGTGACGAGCAACTTAGGAATAAAAAGAAGAAAAAACTTAAGAATAACATAAGCTAACCAGAGCTAACTAGCCCTCTTGCCAAAGGAAGAGAAAGGGAGAGGTCATGGGGTCCTCAGAAGTTCTGGTGCCCCCAATAATGCCTGATTTTTTTTTTTTTACATTCTTTTCATTTCTGACGGTGTTGACAAAAACTACACTCTTAGAAATGGCTTCCAGCAGTAACATACTGTTATTCCAAAATACGGTAGGACATTGTCAAT